GTGTGTGTGTGTGTGTGTGTGTGTGTGTGTGTGTGTGTGTGTGTGTGTGTGTGTGTGTGTGTGTGTGTGTGTGTGTGTGTGTGTGTGTGTTCTGGTGTGTGTGTGATGTTTTACTTAAAATGGAGCAGAATAGACACACAGTGCAGCTCTCACTCACTCTAATAAAATCATCTCAGGCTACATTAATCCCTCCTGAAGGCCACTGTCAAAATAACAAACAGCTGGGATTCTTTAAAGAGAGCTATCTGTCTCGGACAGGTGAGAGACGTGTGTGTGCCCGTGTGCCCGATCCAGGTATTACTCATGTTGTGGGGACCTAAATCCGTTTGCTCTGCCATGATAGGCCAAGTGTCTTACTGACAGGGACAAAAAACATGATATTTTCAACACAGAAGGTTAAGGTTTGGGTAAGTGTAGTAAAATGAAAGCAAGTCGACAGCAAGTCCTCTGAAGTCACAGATATAAAACTCTATGTGTGGATGTGAATGCTCATTTATGTAAGTGCGCCTCTTGTGTGACAAGAGAGCTCTTTCCCGACCTCTGTGTTTATGGGCTCGATGTGTACTGGTGCGCTACAATCTCTTTACCTCCTCTCTCTTGTTTCGGGCAGATCCCTTTGGCTGGGGTCAGCCTCCTCGCCTGATCCTCCTCCCCTCCTGGGGTCACCTGGACGCCCACTTCCACCGGAACAGCCCCTCTTCCCAGCTCCAGTGACCTGGCCCTCGGAGAGATGGGAAGGCCCATAACCCCGCCAGCTGCCCCAGGTTTGGAGAAGGACCCCAGTCCGCCAATGGGCCCCCGGCACAGACGGCGCTTGTGCTCGATGAAAACCAGGATATCACCCAGAGGGAAGTTAGTCTGGCACTGGCCGCAGGTCAAGAGGTCATGCTCTCCAGATGCTCTCCTCCGAGGGCTCGGGGTGGACAGCTCAGGAGATGGAGATCCTGCCCCTGAGTCATGATTGGCCTCTGCTGCCGAAATAAGAAGGGGAAGGTAAAAGATGTCAGTCAGTGATGTTATTTTAAGAAAGATAGGAGTAAGATAGTTAGAGCCAAATATAGAGAGGTAAAGGGAAAAAACACCCAGCGAGTTTAGTTATCCCTGAAACCATTACCTGATGAAAGCCATCTCTTCCTACCACACAAGATGATCATTACAGTCACAACTGTGTGTCACTTTCATGGCATGAAACAACGCCGCTGTTAAGTTGCTTCGCCTAGGCAAACACCTGCACTGCTTATCCGTGAGAGATCTGCGTGGGCTGCACCCAACACATAAACTCCACGTGTATGTGTGTCTGTGTGCATATCAGCCTGTGTGATTGTGTGTGTGGCCAGGAAGCTATTCATCTCACAGTGCAGGCTTGGTTTCCGGTGAGGGCCTTTTGCTGCACTAAGCTGTCATAGCTAGACGGCTCCCTACACCACGGGAGCCCCAGCTTGTGCAGAACAAAGTGTAGAGTAACGTAGGCCACATCCACCACCCTGTGTGTGTGCGCGTGTGTGTGTGTTCGTGTTTGTGTGCATCCTAGAATAAGACAGCGAGAAGAAAAATTAAAAGGAGAGAGAAGAGAAAAAAAGGGCCATGTCTAAGTGCGTGTGTGTACATGAATGGATCAGGTGAGTTTGAACAGTGTATTCTCCACAGACAGAAAATCTATAAAGCCAAACCCGGGGTCCTGTTAGGAGAGTAAATCTCATTCTTTACAGATCTGACACGGTCATTAATAACATTTACACATTCTTCCCTCTGTTCCTCCCCGATGGCGCAGACTCTGTCCCTCAGCTTAACGTAAATCCCTCATGGACAACCTCCATTTTTTTTTACATTTTAAAACACCACCCTCATGCACCAGTATGGAAATGTGTCCTCTTCTAAAGAGCCCCGAGGAAACCTGAAGCTCCAGAGACTGAAGGCGTGTCTGAGTGAGCGGGTACCCAGGGAGAGGTGTTGATGCCTGGGAGAGAAGCATAGCAGCACTTGCCTGTCTGCTGCGTCTCCACTTCTAGCGCCCGTATCTCCCCCCCCTACCCACGCCCCCACACCCCTCCCCCTACACCCCTTCTTCTTTGCCTCCTTTTCTCTTTTCCTGACACCCTAATAATTGCAAAGATTAGACAAAGAGGGTGTGTGCTCTCGCTCTCTTCTTCTTTTTTCTTTTTTTTGTTCTGCTGTATTTATCAGACCAAAGATCCTAAACCTTCTTATCAGCCATCTCACACTGTCAGGGAAGCATTGCGTCGCTGTCATAATGCTTAAACTCGGGCAGGATTGGGGATGAATACTAACGCATCCCTTTTTTCCCCAAATTATCATTATTATTATTATTATTATTTATCATTTTCAAATATTTCTTTGTAACTATGAGCCCCCCCACCACCACCCCCTTTACCAAATCACCCATCCGCCCACGTATACACTCATACACACTTTCCAGTCCTCTCATTCCACCCTGGAGTGATGATCCGATGCCAAATATCTTTTCTCTAAATGGCGATGGCTTCCTGGATGCCCGCCAAATAATTTCCATCTCATAATCTTTTGGCGGCAAAGAAGGAACACAGCCGCATATTTACCTACAGTTCACAGCTTGTGACCATGATTCGCTCGCGCAGGCAATGTAACTCTGCATGTATGTGCAATGCATACAAGTAGGACGGTGCAGGAGATCTTTCTGCTAACGTTATTTTTTTTATTTATTTTTTTTTACTTTGGGGGGGAAAAAAACAAAAGAGAAAAGAAAGAAGACAGGTGGCATGAGGCACGGATCCTCGTGTGAGAAATGCGAAAATGAAAAGAAAAAAAAAAGACAACTACAAGTCAGCGAGCTGACAGACACCTGGGCATTTGAACTCGACTCTCTCTCCCTGTGAGAGACAGAGACAAATAGTGAGAAGGCCTGTTTGTTAGCCTACGGTTGAGTAACACGGCCCGAGGCTGAAAGCAGTAAATTAGCAGGAGTTGGCACCGTGACTGTGAATATCTGGAATATCAGTCGGACATCTTCTGAAAACCGCACCCCTCTCTGAAACCCGCGCACTCATCTGTCCCGAGGCTCACCTGTGTGAGAAAAACATGTGTGCAAGAAGGAACCAAACGTGGCGGGGCGGGAGGGTGGTACAAAAATAAAAAAATAAAAAAATCTTGGACACAAGCACGGCAAAATGGAAACGTGAAAGAATAACAGACTAATGTAGCCGATCACGGTGACAGACAGTGTCTAATTCCTCAGTATAAACTCCTATGTGAGAGGAACAAGCTTGATAGGTAAAGGAGCATAGCTGACACGCTGTCAAACATGCCATCGTTGGGGAAGGCGTGATGATGGCAATGAAACCGGGCTGTCTGACATGATAGCACACATACTTTATTTCTGTCTCTTCTTCTTCTTCTGTTTCTCACATACACACACATATAAACTTGGAGTTATATTCACCCTGTGACAGTCCTGCTACTCTGCCTTATCAAGTGTGAGTTAACTGAGGCAGCCTTAGAGCACCCCCTATCAGTTTGATGAGGAGAGAGTCAGTCATTCACTCCACTATTACTACTGCTGCTGCTGCTGCTGCACACAGCCACTGCACAATATGTACCAGATGGGAGCTCAAGACAATGGGCCTCTTTCACCAAAATTTCCATCTTTGTAGAAGGTCAAAAAAAGCTGTTCAAAGGCCAGAAAACACTTAATAAAAAAATATTTTTGGGATTTTTTAGATACTTTTAAGTGCAAATGCTGAAATTGATCCCGTGTAGTTTGGCTATGCTCGAGCGGTGATTAAACTGGTAAAAAGTTAGCGGCTGGGTGAAACCAGCTAGGTGGGTGAAACCTGCCAGAGTGCATATAGGAGGACTCTGGCCTCCAGTCATGTCCTCAGACATTAATTGCACCTATAAGTCCTTCTAATCCTCAACTATTGTGTTTGTTCTTATATGTTCTTATACATGACGACTCTCTCGCAGTTTCACTGTGCCCGAGGTGAGGGCAAAAGCAAGGAAATTTGACAGCACGGCAAAACAAGCTCTACTCTTCCCAACGGAATAAAGGGAGGAGAGGAGTGGGGGAGTCAATTTTTTTTGGATAAGACACAATTTTCTTTTTTCTTTTTTTTATTTGAATTTGACGAAATGCCCCGAAGAAGCAGTGTCAGAACAGAAAACCACGAAACTATTTTCCGCTGGTCTTACACAACACTTTAATACCAGCTGCGCGCTCTGTTCGGCAGTTGAAAGGCAGAGGAAGGCCATGGGCACTCGTATGACAGTCGGCCATAGCATATGGGTTCAGACCTGTCTCCCTCTCTTTGTTTTCCCCCTTTCCATTTTGCTGAGCTGAGAACACATGCACACACACAGAAACCCCCAAAGGGGAAAGTTGGGAAAGATTCACGCTGTCGTTGAAAATAAATGACACCAGCAACGACGCAGATGGTTGCAATCAAAAATTCAAACGACAAGCGGCCTCGCTTAGCCTCTCCCCTTTTTTCTCAGCAGCGATTGCCAAGGAGAGCTGCAACAGTGTGCGTTGTGAAAGGCCAGGCCTGTGTGTTTCATTATCATATCACCATTTAATCTGTAGCAGCCCTATTTCTTATCATAAATCTTAGATTATCAGGCCTGAAAGTGAGCAAAATACGACTGCAGCTGACTGTGACTTGTCACTAAATCGCTATAAATGACTTGCAACCTCTGAGGCATGACATTTGGTGATATAAATCAAATTTGCCAAACAATTTTAGAGATATCATAATAATAATAATAATAAAAAAGCCGCTTTATAAGCATTGCAAAACGGATTAAACGTGTTCGATAATATTGAAATATAGAAGGAAAATCGGCGAACAAACTGCAGCACTGCCTCGCAGTGAATCATAAATCGCTCAACAGTCATCTCCCCTGTGAGATTATCATCCGGTTACCACAATGTGTGTGCATATTTACTGTGGCGTAAGACTGCGTACGGTGGGTTTCTCCCCATCATTTGACAGCCATATGGTGTGCATAAAGAAGAAAACATTAACTGTTTCACAAGTAGCATGCCAATTCGGAGGGTAAACAGTTATCACGAGGCGTTTCCACGGCTGAATCCAGAGAAGAATTCACAGTAATAAATCTGATTCGAGATTGCAAATGCACCACTCTCTGAAGAAAGGGGGGGGAGCAAACCTGGGATGCTAAACGCCAGTCGTTCCACATTAATTTGACTAATTCATAAGGATATTTGTGTGACAGGTCTCTCTTTGTCACGGATGTGACTCCGAAGCTGAATCACCGAGCCTGAAAAAGCCTATAGGGATGATTTCCCTGTAAGGAAACCGAGAATGAACTATAAACTGCGCCGACTGAATCGGCCTGCTGCATTTGTCACAGTGAGAGCATAAACAGATACGTGCTGATGTATTCTGAGCGTGGTTCTTTCTGCAGTTGCACAGTATAGGCAGATCTACATAGAGTCAGCGTGTTCCTTCCTTGCTGCATACTTGCGCACTGAGTGCCTCGACTGCAGTTACAGTCGCTTGTTCACCCCTTTAGATGTCTGGCCTGGCAAGTACACAGGCTTCTGCTAAGCCTGTCCAGAAATATGCAGATATTCAGGTTCTGTTCATAAGTAGTGCATGACCTGTAGGCCTGCAGCTGGCACAAGGCTGTGTTCTGTTACAGTGAGCCATGACGTGTGTTTTGATGAATGCTGGTGCCCTGCAGAAGCTAAATATCATTCCTTTTATAAAGAGATACGCCGAGACTGGTCTCGACAGTCGATGCAGAAAATGTGAAACCGTCGAGCTGCAAAGTGATATTAAAATCAAACTTTCTTTTTTCAGAAATGTACTTCTTTCTTCTCGTCTTTCTTTCTTTTTCTTTGGCAGTATCTCCGTACATGTGTTGACTTAATCAAATAACAAGTTGGCTTTCCTCCCACTGCCCCTCTTTGTCCTCCAGCCTGAGTTGTGGACACAGGTCCAAGTCCTCCCTCTTGAACCTGAGCCTCTCAGGTCTTTGCCACTGCTGGAGTATGTTTTTTTAAGTAGGTGACACTGAAAGAAGATGAGAGCCAGGCCCTCTCTCCACACATTTCCCCTCCTTTCCTCCACCCTGTACTCGACCACCCCTGTGTTATTAGGCTAAGCACCAAAACATTTGTCAGCATTTAGAGATATTAAGTTGTTTTGTGACACTTGCAAGTTTTGTTTTTTTGTTTTTAAAGACCAAGCCAGAGATGATTAAAAAGATTTCTAAATCCAGTCATTTAAAGCTTCAGGCAAGAGCAAATGAATCCTGGGGACATTTCAGCGCAGCTTGAGAGCTTGGACAGAGAAATTAAGAAAATGAAAACTGATCTGTGACAGCTAATTATCAGCCTAATGACATTCAGCAGGTGCAGAAGCAAATATTATTTTAGCCTTAATTTGTATGAGTTGACTAATAACAGAGGGATGTTGTGTAAAAAAGAGGGAAAAAAAGCTGCAATTGTTAGACACACTTTATCCAGATTAAGTGTTAAACACAGAAAAGCAGTGCCTGAGGTGCAAACAAAGTTTTGCAAATTTTTGTTTGTTTGTTTTTCGGTTCAGTCGAAAAAATGTACGACTGGGGCTGAAATCATCTCCACCTGAATTAATTATCAGACAGCCAGAGCGACAACAGAGAGAATCAGCCTTCACATCAATAGCTGCACCACAGCCAAGCATCAGCTTAACGTGGTGCTGCACGTTATCACAAATAAAAATAATTCCATTAATTTAACAAAAAAACCCACCGCTTATATCTGGATGTGTCTCTCAGATCGCTCTCTGTGTCTGAAATTGGCGAAACAATTTCAGCAACAACAAAAACAAAAAGAAAAAAAACTTCAGAGGGGAAAGTCAATGAGAGAGTGCCAAAGTGAATAGTGATGAGTCTAAATGTTAAATGTGTCGGGTGGGACGGAATGCACCTAACCGTTTTCAACGCAAAACAGATTGGCCAAAGATTACATCATGAACTTCTGCAATGAATTACCCAGATTAGGCCTCTATGAAATTGGATTTAGGCACAGCAGAGCGCTGGGAGATGAAGGTTAGATTGATATAATTGATTTGAAATTGGATTATAAGACTTTTTAATCATATGCTCGCCTCCCTAAAAAAAAAGAAAGAAAAAGGAAAAATCCTGCGCAGTTTGTTTTTTTTTGCCGCACTCCTGAAAAGAAGTTGTGACCCTACGGATCCTAAAATGTGGCCCACGTAATAATAAGATTAGCAAATATAGTACAAATAAAAAAATAGTGATCTTCCCCGTGTGTGTGTGTGTGTTTATTTTCGTGCCCTGCTCCATTCTTAAATATTCTTCTTGTGGGCCGGTGTGTCGCAAAAAAACTAATCATTTTAAGTTTGATGCTTTGTGCCAAAATGTTAGAGTGTGTGACAAAAAGTGAGAGAGAAAGAGGCTATTTTTTAAGAAAGAAAAAAAACTTTAATCGTGCAAACTCACCCTCTGTGGAAATGTTTAACAAAGTATCCACGCGCAAATGTGACACATCCCGGGAGAAGAGAAAACGTAAAATTGAATATGAATTGTTAGAGTACAACCTCAGTGCACGTGTGTGTGTGTGTGTGTGTGTGTGCACGTGTGTCTTTATGTGTGTGTGTGAGTGCTACTCACACACACAATCAAGCAGACACCCCAGTTGTAGCTGTCACAGGATCGTCCCTTGTAGTAAAATCCACTGAAGCCGAAAAAGGCGCATGTAAAAACGGTCTCACTTACACTGATACAAATGATAAAATAGTTTAGAAGCCATGCAGTCACTCGCATCGAGTCTAAAAGTTTAGTTTTAAATAAGCAGCTGCACGGTATACCTACTATTTTTTATTGTTTGTGCATTAGTGATATCACATGATCTATTTATTTTTTCTTGTTCGGCGCATTTTTTGCAATCACTGAAAAAAACGTGCTGTCTTCGTGTTTTACTAAAAAGAAAAGTGCGTTATTAATCACGTTTAGTTGTTTATTTATTTATATTGGCCCGAAAGTCCGAATCGGGCTAAATAATAATATTGACAAAATTGCAAAGCAGTAAATGTTACGATAAAGGAAGTGATGAGCGTGTAAAGATTTTAACCTCACCTTGTATTGTCTCCCTGTGCGTCAACGATAAGTGCTGCGGGTTCACCTGCTTGCGGCGGGACATTGCCCCGGCATCTACTCTGGCATCGCCCGGTGAACGGCACTTGGAGTCGGCTTGGACCGTGGTGTCGGTCCTCTCTGGATCACAGGTCCCCGACTTCCCGCTCCCTTTTGTATTCCCCTGCTGCTTTTCACAGTCTTTAGCTGGAAATCGTCTTTTTTTGTTTCTTTTTTTTTTTTCTTTTGGAAAGATCACCAGTCGGACAGCAGCGCGATAAGGATGAAGGACCGCTCAGTCCACGGTGTCCTGCTGCGCCTCGGAGGAAGCAACACTTGGATTAAGGACGCCAAAAAAGTGTAGTTTTAGCAAGGAAGCGTCTGCAGACGACCGATGACTTAATGAGTGCGCCGGTAAAGTGAGCTTTTGCAGATTAACCAAATAGGACAAGGAAAGGAAAAAAATCCTGGACTGTCCGCTTCTGCAGCGACCGCGGTGACAGATTAAGTAGCCTACGGAGCACTCCACCAGTGATGGATGTTGTCACCTATTTAACTCCTCTCCTTTTCTTTAATTTTAATGATATAATTATATCATCTGGGTTCAAATGGTGGCTCTTTAGTTTAGGATTCCCTACAGTCCTTCCATCTCAGCAGTGGCGCGCTACAATGACCCTTTGGCACTGACTCCCCTCGCGCGTTTTGGCATCGGTGCGCAGAAACGGCAACTCTTGGCTCTCGTGGCAGTAGCCGCGTTGATTGAGAGAGGGAGAGAAAGCGACAGAGAGAGAGAGAGAGAGAGAGAGAGAGAGAGAGAGCGCAGGCGGGCAGACGGACAAGAGACACCTCCCTCCCCTCCTTCCAACAAGCTCCAGTGTCTCCTATTGAGCCGTCTTTGCAGCTCACACGACGAAACATGCCCTGTTTGGGGCGACCCGCATGTGTGTGTGTGTGTGTTTGTGTGTGTGGTTGGTGTTGCCTCATTCAAGTTTAAGTGCGTCCAAGACATCAGCCACTACAGAGGTGTGAACGGCAAACAACACAGAGACAATTTGCGGGGGGCAACCAGCAGTGGCTCCCCAGAGCTCCACCACCAGCTTCAGACGCAAACATCACTCGGCAGTGGCTACTTCACAGACACGCTCATGTCTGGCTACTGGAAGCAGTGTCCAGTTAGCAGCCAAAATTCACCTTGACTTTCTTTTTTCTTTTTGGTAATTCTATCACAAATAGTATGAAGTAAATCAATCTGGTCATTTCACCTTTTACCTATTTAGAACCACCACCTCATCATCCTTGCTTACAGAAGCCTCACAGGCACGCCAGATGGAAATGATCTTAAAACAAGAACAGCAAACACCTCAATCAGGTCCAAGTCAAACTTGGATGAAGGGTCACCTTTAATTTAGACAATTAATCCTTTGTGTTGCTGTGCGTTTGTCGGCTGTGTAAACGGTGAAGCAATGCACAGGACACATGGCACCATACATGTAGTATTTACTCACATTTGAGTCAGAAGGTGGAAAACCCATGCTGTAGCTTTGTTGTTGGGGATCATTTAAATATGTTGTGAGGCAACAGTACCCTCTGTTGGCACAGTCTGGAGAACCTGTTTAGGCGGTGATACCTTAATGCAGCATTACTAAACTCCATCCCTATTTTTAGAATGAAGCCTCCTTAATTTGCCATTTATACAGTTCAGCGTCTGAGAGAGAGTCCTTGGAAAAGCAGATCGGGTTCACTGAGAGGCAATTAATAGCACTAAGGGAAGGTAATTGCACACGTACGGGTCTGCATTGAGATACAGGTTAGTACAGCTCTAATGCCACCACACCATACAGTCCAAAGTGGTGCCGTGCCGTAATTTGCTTGAAATACATTGTCGAATAAAAATAATAGCCTCACACGGCCGTTTAAAGTTGACACTGTTTCCTCGTAGATCAGCAGAGAAGTGTGCAGCCATAGCAATACATTTTACAGCCCGCCATTAATAAAACATGGTGGGCAATTTTAAGAGCATTAGAAGTTTGATTGCTTCGGGGCAGGCCTAGGGGACTTTCAGGACAGTAATTATTTATATAAATGAAATGTCATCTCAGCTCTGGCTCAAGTAGACGTAACCTCAGCAGACGCCACATGGAAACACTACGGCACAACAGCTATCTTTCACAGATAGGCCAAGCATGTTGTCGAGCATATTGCTTTGACTGGAGCGCATAAATTCGATATGTGATATTACACGGAGTGTCTTCGACTCCGCGTCGGGCCAAGAGAGCAACAGCAGTCGCGGACATATTGAATGCTGAAGGAAAACATTATCCTGAGTTCACACACGCTCTCTCTCTTGCCATCCCTGCCGGCTGCGAGCAGCTCCTTGATCCTTACCCATGGGTTTCTCAATAATACATCAATGTCTCCATTATAGCTTGTAACTGCAGGCTCTGGGCAAAGGCAGTTTAAAGCTGGGTTGCATGGGGCCAACATACCACAAATACCCCACTTGTGGACACAGGAAAGGTTTTAAGTCCAAATGTTGCCTCTAAGGAGACATGCATCTCTCATGCTAAGTGCGGTCGCTCAAGAGGAGGTACCTGAACACACCACGGGGCAACATCCAAGCAAGATGTGAAAGTTTTGTCCAACTTACAAGGGGCCACGGTGCTGACATGCAATCTACTGACTTTAGAAAGATCTGCCTTGTTTGTAACTTACAGTTAAGCATTAAAATAATGAGCCCGATAACAAAGTTTTTTTTTTAAAAATTAGAAGCTTTTGCATTTGCGTGGACACGCGACTCACCCGGCTTTGACTCTGGGTCACCTCCATCATTGCATCCCTTACGTCTTCCATTTTTCATGTCCCTCCCATTTATTTACTCTCCAAAGAATACAACAAAGACATTAATATAGTCCTAAAATAGACTAATGTACATGACGGAAACTGGACTTTATACAGTTTTTAGGGTTAAGCGTGCAGACCTTTGGAGGCAGTCGCTTCAATGCGTTTAACCACAGCGTGACAGAGCTGACATAAACAATGAAAGGTCCACTCCAGGAGAGCTGGGGTAATATGAATATTGCTCTGGGATTTGCTTATAGTCGGCGCTTCATTATGCAATGTTTAATATTAATAAAGAAAGTATAAGTATATATTATTCATAAGCTGATTTACGGTGGCTGGTGTGTGTGTGTGTGTGTGTGTGGATTTGAGTGACAGATTGAGATGCTCCCTTGCTACAGGCAATACAACTAGACAAGGCTCTTACTTTTCTACAGGACACATCCTGACAATTTCTCCCACAGTTAAGAGGATTTGTCCGAGCAGGGGTGAATATATAATGCATGCAGATTCCAAATTTTAATTTGGACGGAGTAAATGATTCAATGCTGGCTTTTCTCAGAAGTGAGACTGGGCGGGAGGGGGATGCAGAGGGCACAAGATGTTACTTGCAAGCCCCGCTCTTATGCGGTGACATTTAAACAAGCACAGATGATGCTGCACCTTTCACGTGTCAACAACAGGAGCCTAAAGCAAAATTACTTTTCTAATATTTTCATTTTCCTGCTTAAAATTCCTTTTTGGTTAATATGATAGCAAGTTTCATTACCAATAAACACCACAAAAAATGTCTTTTTTTTTGTCCTAATCAGTCCCTTTTCTCGCCTTCTCCTTTGCAGCAGGATGAGGTGGTAAACTTTCGTAATCTGTCCTGTTTCACAACCTTCATGTTTGAACTCAGAAGCCATAGCGACAGATAATACATGATAATTATTTGCAGTTTGAATCTCATGTGCATATATTGTTTTGCGTATTAATTAATATCATCGTCATTCTGTGCATACAGCTCAAAACCAATATTTAAGTTAATTTTAAACGTGTACGTATTGTTTGATTAGATATAAATAACTCACGAGTAATATAGAAGATAACGCCAGCACTGAGGTAAAAGAATGAGTGATTTTCTTGTGTTTAATCAGTAAAATAAACCAGTGATGTTTATTTTAGGGAGTCAGACAGAGTAGATTTGGACTCAGTGTTCTTTAGTATGTGCACTCTCAGGCAAACACCGGCAAAACTCATCTACTCTTAGATCCAGTTGTGCATCAGAAGTATGTTTGTAACACATACAGATGTATAAAGATCTATAGGTATCAAAGGACAAAAGAAAATCTGCTTCAGTTTATGTATTATACGTGTTTAACCTTGTCATTTTTTCTTTTTAATTTAATTTTTAACTTACCTGCAGATTCGCATTTATACTGGTCACAACTCATACTTGTTTGGTTGGGTTCCTTATACATCCTGCTACTGCTACATCGAGTGATATTTCTTGTAAGGAGCATATTTCTATGTTTGGGTGTTACCTGCTGCAGGACTCACCAGGTGTGAAAATAACCGGTGACTATTCAGCACAATGTAAATAATATTTGCTTGCTTGCTTGTAATTTGCACATGTAAACTATTTGGTCAATGCTAAGTCAATGCTGACCGCCAAAGTCCAAGAGAGATTCTGTGTCTCCCTCTAGTGGATATTATTGGGAATATCATCCTTTAGATTATTATCAAGAATATAAGAATTTAAAATGTTTTCAGGAAAGGCGGGCTGTTTCCAGCAGCGCTAGATAGACTCAAAACACGAATGAAATTAATTTAGCAGTGGAAATGGAAAGAAAAATGTGACCCGAGAGCACGTGTACCTCAGCGCCTGCGTGATGACGTCATCCAACGGTCTGACGTACCGCAAAATGGTGGTGCCCTTGTTACAATGGGGTCTGTTGTTCACTTGTTAGCCAACTTATTGTGATCAACTGTGGATTATTGCTACAACTGCCTGATTCAGGCGATTTATTCGGACGTCTACATGTTAAAGGTAAGAGTTGTGTCTCGTTGGAAGCGGCGGGGAGATGAAGAGGCTGAATTCTGAACTACTTGTGACATGTCGGAAGCTTCGGCGTTTCACCGAGTGGAGCAAGTTTGCTAGCCGAGGTTTAGCTAGCCGAGGCTGGTGCAGAGTGGCCCTGTTGATGTGACAGCGTTGGTTGCCCTCAGCTTGAGTGTTTCATAGATGTTAGCCTGTCGGTGCGTTTAAGCCGCTTCGAGTGTGTGGCTCGTGTTACCCTAATCTCCGCCTCTAGCGGCTTTTTTAGTTTTACGAAGCTAAGTTACCATCACAGCTAACAGTGCCAGCAGTAGCGGGTTCGTTGCAAAGCATTATTCGCTGTGTCTAAACTCGACTGTTGATTCTGCTGTGCTGCTGTATGCACACTGGGAGCCGACATTCACAGATCCGTGAAAATTATAGAAATATATTATGTTGCTATCTGAATCCATTTTAATAATCATCGATTTGTTTACAACGAGCCTGGACTTGGAGCTCAGTGTAGCTCAGAAATGTTTACTGCTCTTTAGCGTTTCACACCGTGGACTACAAGCTAATTACACTTTTTATAAGCCTGAGTGTGTTTATAAAACTGCGCTATGGCCCTCACAGAATACACTGGTGGCCAGGTTATAGACAGATCCTTTTTAAGAAAGAGACAGGATTTGTGGTACTCTTTGCCTGAACGTAAATATCTACTCGTGTGAGCTATGCTATTTAATGCTTTGCTGCCCTTAGTGATGATCCTTTTTTATTTTTATCTCAGCAGTCCAGCACAGCGGGTCCATCCACCGCCTCTCCTCAATCAATGAAAGAATCCAAGGAAAACTCGTCAATGACGGGCCAGGCAATCTTGGACCATATAAAACCATGCTGGTACTGGGACAAGAAGGATTTAGCCCACACGCCCTCTCAGTCT